GTTTGATCTCTCATACCTGCAGCCCTAAGGATTTCTGATGGGTATAATGAAAAGCCAGCTGCTGCAGATGCAAGTTATCCATGAGATGGGAAATAAGGACCAGGGCTTGAAGCTGGGCAGGGAGGGAAGGTTTTGCAGTGAAGGCAAAGGATGAGCTCTTAGTTTGGGCTTCCTATGGGAAGTTCATGCTTGTTAGGCTACAGAGCGGCTACAGATCAGCCTGGACTTGCTTCTCTGGGCTCTGTGCTGTCTGGATATAAACCACTAGTAGCCACTGCTTAGGGCATATTGGTCTCAACCTCAACACTGCACCCATGTTTTCTCACAGCTAGAGCTGGCATCTGGCTGTCTTAAAACTGAGCTTGGATCACCCATACACTCTGTGTGAGCCCACGCAGACGTATCCTCAGGTAAACATACTCCCACTCCAGCAAATAACTGTGTACTGCTTTCAGAGAAGGGTAGCTGCACCCTGCCGTGTGCTGCAACCTGCTCCATGCATGGCTGGGGAAGATCTCTCTGGTAGAGACATTGCAGATCATGTTCCTGAAACAGCTTTGCAGCCATAGCTCTAGAAGACATGCTTTAGGTTTGGGGGGCTGCAGCAGTCACAGAGTTGCCCAGAATCTGAGCAACCTAGAAAGTTTCCAGGGCAGGCAGGAAAGGGGAGAAGAGGGAGACCTCATCTGCCCATGAGTCAGTGGCCACATAACCTAGTGAAAAACTTCCCTGGACATTCTTCCTCCAAGGTGTGAGCAATGACTTTCCCCTCTGAGGGGTACAACACAGAATCTTTTCCACATTTGTGCTGTATCGCACTTATTTGTAAATATTTCATTTGTGCAGCTGTGTACCACAGAACTTCCAGCTTAGCCTGCAACTGTATAAAAACAGAACCTCTCAAAATACATCCAGGAGAGAACCTGCTATATTGGGCTTGGATTTTGCTTGAGACCTTTGTGCATTACCACCACATTGCTATTAACGATGCAGGGCTTAAATTCAAAATGCCGTTTCTGTATAATGCTGGCATTTCTATATAATGTGATTTCAATTATAAAAACCATAAGTAGCCAGAGAGCAATACTTGTGCCTGGAGGTGTGCTCATTAGGCCAACTGGCAGCAAGGCCACTGACTAGAATAAGCCGTATCTGATGAAACCAGGGACTTCAGCTATTAGGAAATGGAGAAAAATAAACCTCTGTCAGTATCCCTGGCTATTTTATGTCTCCTGAGCAAAAGACTTTTAAAGTTTGGGACAAAGAAAGTGCAACACTTGCCTAATGAGTTTAAGATTCTTCAGTCTCTCCAGCAAGCAGGAAATCTTAAAACGTGAGCTCTGTGGAATGATATGACGGGTTTGTTGCTGACCTTTGGTCTATGGCAATGATGATGAGCGAGTGAACTAATCACACACTTCTAGGCACTCCTTGGCCAGCGAATGCTCTTTCTCCTGTAACATGAAGTCAGAGATGGGTCCCGTGTCAGCCATCCTGCATGATTCAGTGGTAATGACAGAGGAAGTGGGAGCTGTGTTTACAAGCCCTGGAGGATGCTCGGCAATGCAGGCTGCAGCTTATCTCGCACTTCACATCTCCAAAACTGTTATTACATAATCCAGAGCTACATAGAAAGGGATTTCAGAGCCTTTTTCAAGGAGTCTACAAGAAAGACATGGACCTGCTGGAGCGCGTCCAGAGGGGGGCCACGAGGATGATCCAAGGGCTGAAGCACCTCTCCTATGAAGAAAGGCTTAGAGTTGGGACTGTTCAGCCTGGAGAAGAGAAGGCTCCAGGGAGACCTTATTATGGCCTTTCCATACCTAAAGGGGGCCTATAAGAAAGATGGGATCAGACTTTTTAGCAGGGCCTGTAGCAATAGGACAAGGGGAAATGGTTTTAAACTAAAAGAGGATACATTTAGACTATATATAAGGAAGAAAGCTTTTACAGTGAGGGTGGTGAAACACTGGGACAGGTTGCCACCTGAGAGGTGTTAGAAACCCCATCCCTGGAAACATTCAAGCTCAGGCTGGACAGGGCTCTGAGCAACCTGGTCTGGTTGAAGATGTCCCTACTCACTGTAGGGAGGTTGGACTAGATGACCTTGAAAGGTCCCTTCCAACCCAAACCATTCAGAGATTTTATGAGTGCATGAAAAGAGACCTGGCTGACCTGAACCCTTAAGATCTCACGGTATCTATTCCTACCTCTCTTGTGATCAGAATGATCCTTTCCAGCCTTAAAAAATCCCATCAACAGAGCATCCCATGAGGGTTAGCTACCTAACTGATGCCTTGTGTAGAGCCACTGGGCTCCAGGTGGGCACAAGACCTTCCTCCCTTGCTGGGCAACACTATTACCCCACAGCTGTTTCTCCTCTTTTGCCAGGCCCAGTATAATTTCTGAGGGGGTACAACAAAACACAAACCCCTATGGGGCAGGTGCTGCTGGGGCTGCAGTGGAAATCTGTCTGTGATGTGTTCCTGAACGCTGCAGCTGGGGTTGCTGCACCAAACACCAGAGCCAGCCTTGCCTGGGGTATTGCAAACGCTGGGAGTTTACTTGAGGTGAGGAATTTGTTCTTGACATTTTGATATTTCTGCAGATCTAGGTGTATCGAGAGATATCCCAGCACCCAGGCCTGCCCCTGGTTAATAGGGTGTAGAAAGGGGACGGGTGAGTGGGTGCCCATCGGGTAATATCAGCACTCTTTCTGTGAGCTTGTGAAACAGCTGAGGAGAAGAAAACATCTGAGGCCACAAGTGCAGTTTGTAATTCATATTTTATTACTTTGTACAAGTGAAAACATAGGGGGAAAAGGAGAAGTACAAGACTGAAAGGTAACCTGAAAGGCCACAGTGGGAGTCCACAACTGCCACTGAAGGGTGTTTTGTAGCCTGGTGGCACAGCAAAGTGTTATGACTAAGGCACAGTGGTCCCCCTCTTTTTTAAATAAATAAAATGGCAGAGCTCAAAAAAAAGGTGGAAGCCAATTAATGATATCACCGTTGTCACAAATAACTACATTGAGGCTATTAAAATAAGGTGACCAGCAAGCACCTAAACCCAAATTACCTGAAAACACTTGGGGTGGAGGGGGAGCTGCAGGAGGGAGCCCTTTTGACAAGCTTAATGTTCAAAGGTTTCAATGCAATTAAAGGCCATTTTAAATACAAGTTTAAACATTGTCAGCAATGCTGCATGGGGCTGCCTTTGGAGAACCACCAAGCAAGAGCATTTGCACTCTCACAGCAGGAGGGAAATGCAAGTAATAAACAGACTGCACAGTGAGATCCCAAAAGAGCAGTGCCCAAGCTGAGAAGTCAACATTTTTCCAAAGCTTGGCTTTGGTTTACATTCCTTTAGAGGAAAAAGTGACTTGGATAATTAAGCTGATGGAGATATTCCAAAGCTGTTCAAGACACGGAAAACATGTATCTTGTCCTGAGCTTAATGGTGGGCACCAGATAAATATCTTTAACAAAAAATACCCTGCATTTTTAATTGTCCTAAGTATTCTGGGAACACAAATATGGCTAGAATATTACTTTATGAAAGTGCAGTGCTAAAGAAGTACCTGTGCATGGAGAGGGGATGTGCTGTGTCTTGTATCACTGGTCCGTCCCAATACATGGGTAGGTATCAGTCCCCTCTCTGCCCTCACCTTGCCTTTGAAGTGGCTGCTCTGCACAGCTTTCAAGCCTTTCTCACTTCTCTCTCCTCTCCAGTAGCTAAAAATGGGATGTGTATCTGCAGAGCAGAAATAAAAACCCCTCCTGCCAACAGACCATTGCTTCTTTGATCCCAAATGAGAAAACAGGCTTCAAGGTGGTGAGGTTGCTATTCTGAGTAACACAATGTCTAGGGGAGCCGTATTTCTGCCTTGTAACAGAGACAGCTGAGAGCTGCTGCTGCAAAAGCTGAGTTTGGCTGCTGCCTTCCCGCCATGGTTTGGCAGAGACGGCCACCAAAGGTGCGAGTAAGGAAGCCAAGGGCAGGAAAACCTTGCTGGCACCGACCTTGCCTTGGGTACTGCGATAGATCAGCAGCTGTACCGAGGGAGACTGCTCCTGGCAGCTGGAGGAACTGCTCACAGGAGTTAAGTTAAGCACAGACACAAGCTCTGTCAGTGATTAAACATCAGACACTTTGTGGAACTGCTTTTCACAGAGTGGAAATTCACTTTCCAAGCGAGGCCTAGCACTTAGGTCTTGTGCAATAATTGGACGTGACTGAAACTCTTGAAACATTGCACACTTGTATGGCATAGACCCCATTGGCTGCTGAATCTTTGTACAAGAGTGGATATTGCTGCCAGGATCAACCCCCATCCATAAGAAGGAAAACCAAAAGTAGCCAGTAAGAGTGGTCTAGGGTACCTGCTAGGAATTAGGGACAGTCACTAAAAATTTACCCTCTAAAGTCTGCATTTTTCCACAAAAATGGGAATCTTTTTCTAAAATTTTATCTCAAAGAGGTGCATGATTCTGAAAGAAATAGGTCATCTGCAACACTGTATAATTTATAAAATTATTATTCTATGCTGGACAAAAATGCAAGTGAAATATTTCAGCTACTTTTTTCTTGGAAGAAACTGGTCTTACTAGAAAATTATTGCCTAAACCATGCTTGGCTGTAAACGCCTCTAGCTTGTGGTTGATCCAACTTGGTTCTAATTACATGGACTACTGCAAGTGTTTGCACTGGCAACATCAACATTTGCTTTTTTTGCTAGGTGAAGCTGATGAGTCCATGATACTCCTGCTGTGTGTCCCCCTCCTTGACCTTACAGTGATTGCAACAAGGTACTGGTGTCTGGGCATTTTTTCAGCACCAGGGCCATCACAGACACATCAGCTTCACCATCAGTTCATAGTTATTCAGCCTGACCGAGGCCATTGTCTGCGGCTCTGCAGATGGGAAAGCAGGTAGCCCAGTTCATAGCAGGTATTGTTTGAGTTGTCCCTGTGCAAAGTGCAATCCTTTCTCCTGTTTTGCTAGGAAGACTTGGCCTCGGGAATATGTGTGTTTGGCTGCTCCACGGCAAGCTGGTTTTCAAAGACACAGCACAGCTTGTAATTTTCTATGAGCTTGGCTTGAAAATACTCTCTGTCCTTCTTGTGCCAAATGTCTGTGGCAATGTAGGTGTTGAAGGGGTCACGGGAGTCCTCCAGCCTCCTGGCACGGATGTTGGTCAGCATGACTCCCACTGTGAAGAAGCCAAAGAGGCCAATCATCAGAAGCACGTAGAGGATTTCCAGGTTGTTGCTGGCACTAATCACCTGGGAAGGTGCAGAGCTATTTGTCTGCTCCAGGTAGTCTTGAAGCAGCTTGGAGAAGAGTGAATTCAGGGCTGTGTCGTTAGACAGCACTAACATCTTGTTTTTCTGTCCTTTGCACTTCTTTCTTCCTTATTTGTAGATTTTCTAGAAAAGCATCAAAATCAGGGACATGACAGATAAATTGTCAGGTAAAGATGTGATTCTCTCTGTCTCCCTTTCCCAGTTCCTCTCCTCAATGAGGAAGCTACCTCGGGGTCAGAGCAGGGGCAGGGCAGCTGGACTGGTCTGGAGGGACTTTTCAGCTCCTGTTTCCAAGCCAGGCCAGCTAGGCTGAGTCCATCCCCCATAAACACTTGCCTTGCAAGCCCTCTTCAGTCCTTACAGGTGGTCTGTCACAGTGCACAGCTGCCCCGGCTGCTGGCTGCTCACACAAATGCCTCACCCAGGCCTCCTGTGCTGCTATTTAAAGCCCATGACTTCTCCCCCAAGACCCACAGGCATGAGGAATGTCTCACTCCCACTCTACAGCAACTGCTTCTGGCTTTGAAGATCATTATCGTGGCTTCTCTTGGTCTTCTCTCCTCTACTTTCGACTTAAGGATTGAATTTGGAAACAAAACTTCCATACCTGAAATCACTCAGGTACCTGTAGCAAGCTCCTCCTGTCCACCCTTGTTGAGGAATCTTGCCTTTCTTCTGCAGCTCTCATAATTATATACACCATGGAAAACTAAGCAACCCAACATCTGACAGAAATGTATCCCACACTAATTTAATGCAACGTCCCAACAGGCGTTTGTCCAAGGAGTGGATGCAGAGGGAGTCTATAGTAACTGCATACCCAGCAGCGGAAAGGAAAAGTATCTCCCTTCATCCTCCCTCCTACATACTGGCAGTTCTCCCCCAGGCAGTTCACTGCTTTCTCCTCCAAATTTCTGTGCAACTGGTGTTTTATTGTCTGGTTAGGAGAACTTCTGCTTGGCATCACTGAAGGTTGGGAACAGGGCAGGAGATGGTAACACCAAGAACAACCCAAATGCCCAAAGCCTCCTAACCATGGCATTCTGTATAGACAGCCTTACACAAGAAACTGAAGGGTCCTTTTCCCCTTTCCATTGTTCAGCTATAGATCACTTAATAAGAGCAATCCTATCAGCACTGCAGTCCCAAAGCCTCAGCAGCCAGGTAACATGACTGACAATCTCACCACAATGCCTAATTTAAATGTCTCTAGAAAATAAAGACAACAATCTCCCTCTGTTTTTGCCTGTAGCACATCTGAATGAGGTACTGTTATTCAAGGTGACTTCCGTGACAGCAATCTTGTAATCACCTAAGATGGCTGTCAGTGCTTTCTACAGTTTTAAATCTGTGAGAGCAAGCTAGCATGTTAGCAAAAGCTTCTCCAGCATACTTACCTCTTGTTGGGGTTTTTTTAAAGGGCTACTATAATATAATAATTTACAAAGCATCAAGACTGAAATGAACCCTTGGGCAGAAAGCCACTAAAAGGCCTAGGCAGCAATTACACCCCTCTTTGAGGGCAACATTAATGATGCATAGATGTTGTGCAGGACCTCTGCATGGGAGGGACTTGAGCTGTGCACAAAGCCTCCAGCTGCCAGTAATGACACTGCAGTAGATGAGGTGTATCTGGAGGCTTCTTTGAATTGTCTGCGCCTCGGTGTGGCATAAATGCTGTAAAAGAAGATGCTGAGACAGAGGAAGTGAGAAGAGGACGCTGATCTTATGACCTGCTGCTCCTCACATGAAGAGCAGGTATTTACGCAGCCTCTTCTGTGCTAGCAGAATAAAGTTGCATCTGAATAAAGTCCATAATTAATGCAGACATGAATATGATCAAAAAATACTCACATAAATTAATTGCTACTGCAACTGCACATGCTGATTTTTAGTCCAAACCCTTTTGCTAGACCTCCCAGCTCTGCAGTCATGGGTTTGGGACTGAGTCTCACTGAAAGTCAGATGCTCAGCCCAGGGTGATAAATTCTATGGAGAAAGCCCTGTTCTCCTCACCATGCAGTCCTGGGGGACACGAAATGTACCAGCCCACACCAGATGTCACCAGACTCCTTTCCCTGGCAAGTGGGTGACCACTGGGAGCCCAGGTCAGGCTCGTGTGGGCTCAGACTCACCCTGCTGCAAGCAAGCAGTTCCTGCCATGAGGTGCTTGGCCAGCAGGAAAAATTAACACCCATGAGAGTATGCCTTGGTATTTTGGGTTTAAATAGAGCCAAGCCTGGGGGTGGCAGAGGGAGACAAAAATCCCCTGTACAAAACAATATTCTGATCCAATTTATTTCTTCAGTTGCATGAGTCAAAGCCACAGGAAATAACATCTTGGCAGTTTGGGCTTAATAGTTAAAATCTATTCACATTTCACAGCTGTGTGCAGATCCTTTAAGGAGGAAAGGAAGAGAAAAATAAGTTTAAACCTTTATCTGAGATTACTCCTCCTAAGCGTGTAGAATGCGTCGAAATTGTAAACCGTAAAACCATTTGCAAATCGTTGCAATAACTTTCAGACAAAACAAAGAAGAATTCCACCGGATCTCTCAAATTTTGCCAGAAAGACAGGCAATCATTTCTCATCATAATTATCAGCAGCAGTAACAACACTTCCGGTGCTGATGAATTGACATGTTGAGGCTGAATATCCTCAGCTACCTCCCACCACTGGAGCTGGCCGTTGCTCGCTGAGCCTTACCCCTTTCCTCTCTGCCTCCTGCCTCTTGTCCTCTCTTTCTCATGCCATGGATTTCTTTTAGGAGGTGGAGTGGGACCTCCTCAGAGTGATGTCTTTGCTGAGAGGGTAGGTTTAGGATGACAGGAAGATGCCACAGGCAGTTTTCCAGAGTTGGGGAATGGCCAAAAGTGGGATTCTAGGGGACAGACCTACACCATAAATGTCTCTATGTGCCCACATGGGTATGGCCAACAGTTTCTACAGTCAGCGGAGGGAGGAAAAGCATCTGAAGGCAGCTTAGCCACCCCTTCCAAAACATTAAAGAATATTGCTTATAAATGAACAGGTTCTCAGCAGGTGTAAAACCACGTGTTCGATCTAACTTCAGTGAAGATCTGAGGATCCCAGACAGTGTTTGCTTTCTCAGTCTGCTGGCCTGTATTGCTTGCGATGCCTCTAATCTGGACATTGCTCTGTGCAAAAGTGTCCCCAGGGATGTACTTACACAGGTGAGCTGTTCCTTGCAGTGGTGATACTACACTGGTGGGGAAAAAAACATCCCAAACCCACCACTCCTTTCCCTCATACACCCCAAAGGCCCCTGCATAGAGAAGATTGAGTCCTACTCTGCTTATTCCGAAGCACAGCAGAATCACACTGCTCAACCCTTCAACACTTCCCACCATCTGTATAAGAGTCCCTGCTGCTCCCCCAAAACTCTGTGGCTTGGGCAGGAGCCATGGGGCATAGCTTAGGGAAGGGAAGGGAGACTGCTGGGAATGGAAAGCCGGTCTCTTGAAGGAAAACTGAAAAATAAAAAACCCTCTGGCAGACACTTTCTTCACGGTGGTATCTTCCCTCAGGGGTGGAAGGAAAACTGGCCCAGCACCGACCCTGAAAGGCGCCACCTGAAGGAGAGGGCTGAGGGGCCTCTGGCAGAGGGCATTTATCAAGATTGCATTATAAACTAACAGGAGAAATTAGGGAAGAAACCTTTAAACCAACAAGGCCTCTTGGTTTAAAAGGCAGCGTGTGATGGAGAGCTGTGACAGCCAAACTCAGGGAAGACCCAGTTACTCCTGGAGCTATCAGGCAGGACACACTGTGGGACTGGAGGATGGAGACACATGGTCAAGTGTAGATAGACTCCACGCGCATCATCATCTGCCATCTCAGAAACTGTCCCTGAACGTGGCTGAGATGGTGCCTCTCCAGTATGACCATGCAATGACAGACCTACTCTTAATCTTAATCCCTTGAGCATCGAAATGTTTACAGCTGTGGAGTGCTAGAGTTGCAAAATGCAAGTCCATGAGATTGCCTGTGTGATGTGCAGTCTGACCCTGTTTGAGTCTGAAGAGAGGCCAAGCTGAGCCACTGGAGAGCACACTGTGCCTGTCACACCCACCGCTGCTGGGGAGGTAGGGCTGTGACAGGGATATCACTACACAGCCGTAAATTGACATTTGAGTTCAAATACAGCGATTCGCAGCTGCAGAGATCTATCATTTAATATAACTTCTGTCTACATGATAAATGTCAGAACTGACTTCTACCCGTCTGGTTCCCAACAAAGGCAAAGCAGAGTGGCTCTGACTGCTTCAAGGCAGGCTGGAGGCTGCTCCCTGAGCCTGGATGCCGCTGCCGGTGGAGTTCACCCAACCCAGATGCAGCCGCTAGCTCCAGCACGGTCCGTTCTGCCCCGGTCTGAGTCAGGCTCGTTTCCAACAGCTGAGCTTCAGTGAAGCACAAGCTGCAAGATGTTGGGTCCCAGTTGATTGCTGGGGTTTAAAAAGAAAAGAGGCAATTTTCTATCATGTAATGTACCTGGAGGACGTGATACTTGGCTTTGGAGCTCAGTGGGAATTTGTCCTCAAGCATTAGGTGGGCAAACTGATTCACTTTGGCTAGCTGTACTTTTCTTCCCTGCTGAGGTTAAAATGTGCTATTTATCATGTAGACAGAGGTGAATGTTAAATGACAGATGCTCGTCTCCTATTACAATTTTCTCAGCTCTCACAAATAAAAGGACCTATATTCTAATTTATACCAAGCAAACATCTCCAACAATCGCTCTCTCATATTGCTGCCAAAAGCACCAGCAACCGAGCACCAGAAACTGAGGGAGTCTGGAGGAATATATACCTTTAGAAAATACACAGCTCTAGAAACTTCTAATGAACTGATGACACACAAAAAAAGCCTGTGCTATGCTAGTAGCAAAAGTTAGCACAGCACATTGCCTACCTCCCCACACTTTCTGCCAATGACATGCTGCTTCACCACCATAAAGTAATGGATCTATTGACCTCGCTGGCTCATTTCCCTGGCTGTTCGTTATAGGGATGAGTAGGTCACACAACTTTCTGGAGGCCAGAGCATTGCACAA